TGAATTTGCTCGAATTTTGTTTTAAATTATACATATATCTTATAACAACTAATACTGATGACTAGACTTGAGTCTTTACAAAAAGAAAATCAAGCACCCCGAAGTGAGATTGCTGAATTAAAAGAGAGTCTACAAAAAATATCTAAAGATTTATCCTCGAAGACGAAGAGCCAAAATGGCCGACAAAATGATAAGAAAGAATTGTCGCCAGATAGAGCTAATTCAATTGAGTTTATGTCTAACAAATATGACGAGCTCTATTCGTTCAAAAAGGAAGCTAATAAACAGATTCAAGATCTTACTGCTAAAGTAAATAAGATATCGGAAAAATGTGAACGTATTGCGAAATTTATTGAAGAATCGGAAGCTTATAGCTATCAGTATGACATCAAGATTGTCGGTGTCCCAGCAGTAGCTGAGAGGGAAACTGCTCAACAGACTGCCGATCTATGTAATAAATTATTCACTGCACTGGGAGTTGAAGATGTTTCGATAAGTGACATTGATACGGCACATCGGGTGCCATCACGTTTGGCATCAAGTAGACCAGAGGCTATAATATGCAAGTTTGTGAGACGACTCGCTAAAGACAAAGTCATGGCTGCCAGAAGGGCTGTAGGTAACTTGAATGCAGCACAGCTACAGTTAGAAAGCAGTGCAAATGTAAATCATATTAGTTTATATGACCATCTAACCCCGAGAATCCAAGAGCTATTGTACAAAAGCAAACAGACCAAAGCTGCCAAGAACTATAAATATTGCTGGGCGAAGAATGGCTTCGTGTACCTGCGAAAGACAGATAATTCACCAGCGATAAAATTGAAAGACTTAGAAGACCTAGACGAAATAGCAACGTCAAACTAGATAAGTATTTATTCATATACAAATATCCTGATTAATGTGTTAAAACCCTACAACTATGCCTATGGAGACACGTAGAATTAAGTCTAAAGAGAAGGCTGCTAAATTATTATTAAAAGAACTCCCCTTTTATAACTTTAGAGGCGATTTAGTATCATGCCTTGGTCAGTTTAATAACTCAATCCCTATTACTTGCCAACCTAGGAAAAATTTAGATAAATTAGCTGGCCTATATGACTTGAATATTTTTTATTTTAACAATGATTTAGATAATGCTCTGAGGAGCAATCATAATATTCATAGCCAATGCATCCAAAGCCGATATTTTTCTGTGCATAGTTTTAAGAAGTTTGGCAAAAAGCTTTCCGAAAATGAGATTCAGACTAGTTTCTCGATATTTCATAATAATATCGTGAGCGTAAACCGAAACCTAGAAAACTTGACAGTTCTATTAGATGAACTTAATTTCCATTTTAGCATCATTGGAATAACAGAAACTAAAATTACAAATTCAAATGAGAGCAATTTTCATCCGACCATCCCAGGTTATTGTTTTGAACATGTGCCAACACCACTGGCTTCCGGAGGCGCTGGTTTGTTTATTGAATCATCGTTAAATTATAATGTTCTTGAAAAGACCAGTAACACGGCATTTCAAGCATTGTGGATTGAAATACCGTTTGTCAATCACAAAAATATTGTGTGCGGAATAGTCTATCGACAACACAATTCTCCTGAATATTTTCAAAAATATTTTGAAGATAAAATTGAGGAATTGGTGTCTAGTGATAAGGTAATTTATATCATGGGTGATTTTAATGTCGACCTTCTTAAATCTAAAAAATCTCAGATAAGTCATGATTTTTTATTAGCATTGCAAAGCTGTTATCTCATTCCAACAATTGACAAGCCCACACGTGTTCGTACAACTTCTGCTACGTTAATTGATAACATTTTCATTAATAACCCGGATAAACTACTTACTAGTGGAAATATTATCTCTGATGTAAGCGATCATTTTTCACAATTTTGTATCACAACAGATGCAAAGGATAAAACCATAAAAAGAAATAGTGCTAAAATACGTGACTACTCGGGATTCTCAGTTGAAAAGTTTAATAATGATCTTTCTCAAGTTGACTGGGATAAGCTGGGAGAATCCAGAAACGATGTGAATAAGTTGTTCTCTACATTTTATAACAAGTACAATAAAATTGTCAAAAAGCATGTGCCTATTAAAAAAATGTCAAATCGTAAAGCAAAACAATTATCTAAGCCTTGGATCACCAAAGGAATTAAAGCGTCGATTTCAATTAAAAATAAATTGTACGCTATAGGTGATAATGAAAGATATAGACGTTATAGAAATAAAATTTGCAGCTTGATAAGGTTAAGTAAGAAGACATATTATCAGGAGTACTTCACACATAACATAACAAATATGAAAAAAACTTGGGAAGGAATTAATGAGATACTTTATCGTCGGAGGAAGATTTCTAAGACCATAAATTCTCTTAAGGATCTCAATAATAATGGTAAAGTCATTAATGAAGCCACGCAAATTCCTCACATTATAAACCAGCATTTTGCTACAGTAGGTAGCAAACTCGCTAGTAAATTGCCATCTTCAAACCATCATTATCTTGACTATGTTAGTAAATGCAAATCTCCAGCTTCATCTTTTTATCATCAACCTGTCTTACCTGAGGATATCAATGTAGAAATATTATCTATACCAAATAACAAATCATACGGCCCATATTCCTCACCCACTAATTTACTCAAATGCTCAAGAGCTATCATATCTCCTATACTCTCAGAGATACTTAACACATCAATTAAATCAGGTATTTACCCCACAAAACTCAAAATTGCAAAAGTCATTCCAGTTCATAAAGGTGAGGACGAAACGGATGCAAGTAACTACAGACCTATTTCTTTGTTATCTGTCTTTAATAGAATCTTTGAGAAGATTGTATACAAAAGAATGGTGAGCTATATTGAAAAACAAAACTTGTTGTATTCTTCTCAATATGGCTTTCGTAAGGGACACTCTACTCAACATGCAATATTGGAATTATTAAATGATATTCAAACTAATATGAATAAGAAGTTATTCTCTTGTGGAGTCTTCATAGACCTAAAAAAAGCATTCGATACAGTTGATCACAATATTTTACTTAATAAACTTAACCATTACGGCTTCCGTGGAATAATTAATGATTGGTTCTCTTCGTATTTAAAAAATCGCACACAAGTAACACAGGTTGGTCAAAATATATCAAATAATGTCGAGGTCAGTTGTGGTGTTCCTCAGGGGTCAGTTCTTGGACCTTTGCTTTTTTTGCTATATGTTAATGACATGCAAAAATGTTCAGATAAACTTAAGTTTTATCTTTTCGCTGATGATACGAACATTCTTTATGCTGACAAAAATATGAAAGCCCTTGAAAGTACAGTCAATATTGAATTACGAAATCTTTATGACTGGCTAACAGCTAGTAAGTTAACTCTTAACATCAAAAAATCTAATTTTGTTATTTTTCATTCTTATCAAAAGAGACTTGCCTACCAACCTAAAATACGCATATTTGATAATGAACGAAATAAATATGTGAATCTTGAGTGTAAAGATTACATTAAATACCTAGGTATCCTGATTGATAAGAATCTCTCATGGAAACACCATATTAATGTTATTGCAACGAAAATTAGTAAAAGTGTTGGACTCATCGCAAAGTTGCGCCATTTTTTACCCAGATCAATATTAATTAATATTTATCAGTCTCTAATTTATCCATACCTAACTTATGGTATTGCTGCATGGGATCAAGCATGTAAAACCCATCTCGATAAAATTTTAATTCTTCAGAAAAGGGTAATTCGTATGATGTTTTTTGCGGATAGATGTGATCACGCAGTCCCCCTATTTCTTGATGCTCATATTTTACCGGTGACCTTTCTCTATTATGAAACTATATCGAGCTTAATGCACGATATAAATAATGGAAAAGCACCTCAAAATATATTAAACTTATTCGAGAAATCATCCACTATTCACTTACACAGTACACGATCATATACTTCAGAAAAGTTTTAAGTAAAAAGTTCTAGACTAAACACACAAAAGTATTCTTTTTCACGGCTTGGAGTAAAATTATGGAATGAGATACCATGCCATGTAAGTGACCTATCTAAGAATTTATTTAAAAGGGCCATTCAACAACTTCTATTTAAAATATTGGAAAAAGAAGATGACTACATTCAAATCCCCATGATAATTGAAAAAATTAAAAACTATTGATATTAAGAATTTCATATTTTCTACTGTTGCATGGGTAACTTACGCTATTCTTACTTTCAGTAATGTACACTAAATGTTGTACAATAGAGAAATAATCCTATTATTGTTAAGCCAAATCAGTTGTGACAAACCTGATCTAAGCTCAGTCTGCTCTTTCGTATTACTTTATATTATATATCACTCTATTATATGTGTATAACTATTGTATAGATACTTTATATCTTATATTTAAAACACTACCTACTTGCCCTGCCTCGATTAACTCTATAGTTATTTGCAGGGCAAGCTGTAAATATATGTAATTTATAATTATTATTATTAAAAGTTAAAGTTGAAGTTGAAGTTGAAGTCGTCACTGAGAACACACACTTCACTTCACTCAAATATCGGTCATGCATTTTTAAATGAATTCAAAGTTACATCATGAAAAACACAATCATGCAGATATGCTAATACTAGGCCTATACAAATATAAATAAAAACGTTGTCGTTGAATGGAAAATCAGCTGAAAAAAATACAAGATGGTAAGCGTGATCTTCTCTAGAGTGCCTGCCACAAATTATGTCGTGGTCTAGTACGTAAAGAAGTAGTTCCAAGATTGTTTACTACAAGATAAAATAATAATTGATTTGTTACATTTGTGACCTACGCTGTTATAAACCCGGATTAAGCAACTTTCTTAACAAAGTTGTAAATAAACGCACGCAGCGAGGCAATTGTCCATTGTAGTTTAACATTGCAACTGAAACCCTCTGATTATGTTACATTGGTTTGTTACAGTTATTGAAGCATAAAGGTAAGTCCATTGTATATTTCGTATTTCCTTAGTTTTATCTCGAAGTTTTAATTTAATTAAATTACACGGTAATATTTAAGGTGTAAGTGTTTTCCAAATCACCAAATGTAATGTAACTTCCACCGACAAAAATAGTAATGGGAAGAATTGTTTCTGCTCTACCATCAGATTTGAACTAAGTTCATATATTGTCGACATAAGGGACAGCTCATTACAGGTATTGCAGAAATCACTTGAAACTGAACTGAATCATTTACTAGAGACATCAAAATAGGCAGTCGCGAGACTGCACGTGCTACTGTTGTTTACGAATTATATAACAATGCGCGGAAAGTATTACATGCAACCAGACACAGTTCTATATAATGCAGTGTCCTAGTGTCTTCTAGGGACAAACCAAAAACAAATTCAAAACCTTCGACACTAAAATGCATGATAGAATATTAAATAGTGGGCATATTGACAACAGTTTTGTCCTGAAGCCGGATTTCAAGCCCCCCCCACTATTGGCAGACCTTCATTTTTGAGACCAGTCGGAAAATTGGAAATTTCTTATGTTGTCGAGTTTGTCGGAATCAATACGTAAGAAAAGTTATTTCAAAGTATGTGTAATAAACTGCAAGTCGTACATGAATGTATCGATAGAAAATGTAAACAATTAAATATGCAGCGTCAGCAGCGATAAATATAATTATTACCTTAGAGATTACACGAAGAAAATATGCTTGTGATTCCGCATCAACGTACAAAGTCACAGGCAGAATATAAAGCCGGAGTCAAATTTGGACGGGCACCGCAATTTACAGACATGTTTGGGGCTGCGGCTATGTTTTTTACGTTTGAAAAAAGTTAATTAAAAATGTGCTTGGTCGTGCGTGCTTGCGTGCGTACGTGCGTGGCCGCAGTATGTATATGTATATACACGCATACTGTAGACAAAGTAACTTGAATGCAAAGAAAATCATTAAGAAGTAAACTGTGTGTTATCAGTCTCATTTGCAGTGAAGCATGTTAACTTTTTGAATAGAACAAGCGTAAGATATTGGAATCGTAACGCGCCGGTTAATAGAATCCAAGCACTCAATTACGCTAGTTTGGAGAACCCGGAAATTTCCACCATCTTTGATCTAAAATAACCAAGTCAATATCATTTCGGTTTATGGAGAAAAGATATCACGAGAATGTTCCATATATTCTAAAAACATAGAACAAAACTTATAATGCGCGCTCAGCACAGCCATGATGTTGACTGCTTTATATAGCGACATTTCTTGGACATTTCGCGTCATTTTTGGTTCGATTTTTGAAGTACTCTAACTTTTCTTCATTTTGTGTTTCATGGCTGAAACTTCAGTAAATATGTGGGGTTGGATAAGTCTACAATATATATAAAATTGAGGGAAATTGAAGAACTTTCAGTTTTTCATATCTGCCAGAAAATGGCGAATTATTGCGATTTTTACAGACAAGCTCTCTTAATATCAATAATTGTAACAGGTTATGTTGTTTGAATGAAACATGCAATATCTCTTTATTTAGATGTTGACGGATGTTCTATGGGATCTCATACATGCCACGCTAATGCAACCTGTACTGATACAATTGGTTCCTATACCTGTACATGTTTCGCAGGTTTCACTGGAAACGGGACATACTGTAAAGGTAGGGAAGAAACAGATCCTAAGTTTGACCATTACTTGCTTTTAGCTTCTTGTGTCCACAACTCCCGAAAGAGGCGGGGACAATTTGGAGGACTTTGCCTCCGGCCCCCAATTCAAAGCAACAACTTCATGAACCAAATGCCACCGTGGAGTACACGTTTGGTTTGAAATCTAAGAAATCGCCAGCAGTTGTTATCGAAATGAAAGCGTTTGAGGAAGATCTTATTAATATGATGGAAAATATCCAGTTCAGAAAGGTTACAGATACATTCCTTGATAGTTTAGAAAACGATCTTAAAAAGGTTAAATCATCGGCAAACGTTTTCGTGTTCGCGGATAAGACCAGAAATGTTTACGAGACATCGGCTGCATGACAACTACAACAAAATCTTGAATGACAACGTCATTAAAAGTTACAAGGTAGACGACAATGACATTTTAGAAGACATAAACTGTGATTTTAGGGACCTTGCAAATGATCTGTCCATTGGTAACCGCATTGAAACCTTGGCAACTAAAGAAGCGTTTGTGACAATTAAAGATCACAAAGATAATTTTGAAGTCAACCCAACCTATCGCCTGATAAACCCAGCGAAAAGTGATCTCGGAAAGATTAGTAAAACCGTTGATGACATTAACTCAAAAATTAGAAATAACATTGGCGTGCAGCAATAGAAAAACTCCTTATCAGTTATTGATTGGTTTAAGAACATTAAAAACAAACAAAGGTACTCGTTTATTTCCTTTGACATAGCTGAATTCTATCCCTCCATTACAGAGGATCTTCTAGATAAATCAATTTCGTGGGCTCGAAATTATGTTACCATCCCTGAACAACATGTGTCAATCATTAAACACGCAAGAAACTCCCTCCTTTTCAATGGTGATAACATCTGGAAAAAACGGCAAAGCAACACCACATTTGACGTTACAATGGGAAGTTACGACGGCGCAGAGATATGTGAGCTAGTCGGCTTATTTATTCTAAACTCCTTAGCTGAGAAATGCGGGAAAGATTACGTTGGTCTTGATCGTGATGATGGACTTATTTTGTTGAAGGGAACTTTCAAACGTCTAGCTAATAAGACAAGAAAAGATCTAGACAAGTTGTTTGCAGAGAACTTCCAATTCAAGATAACAGCCGAAATTTGCCACCGAACCATCAACTTTCTCGACTTAACTTTCGATTTACACGAGCAGAATTACAAGCCTTACCGGAAACCTAATAATGACCCCCTTTTCATCAACAGTCATTCGAATTATCCGCCATCAATCATAAAAGAAATCCTGCTATCAGTGAACAAACGTATTTCGCAATTATCATTCGACTAAAATGCCTTTTCCGCCGCCTCCCCCAAGTATGAAAGCGAATTGAACCGCAGCAACTATCATGCGAACATGCATTATACCCCAAGCAACAACGGTAGTGGCAATAAACGAAGACAACGAAACATAATTTGGTTCAATCCACCGTACAGCAAGAACGTAAGAACAAACGTGGGTAAGATCTTCCTCAATTTAATTGACAAACATTTCCCACCCTCCAATTTCCTTCATAAGATATGTAATCGTAACTCGGTGAAAGTTAGTTACAGCTGCATGGATAATTCTAAGTGTATAATTTCTAAGAAAAACACCAGAATACTGTCAAGACCGAAATCGACAACCCAAACATCATCATCAACAAACAGCGCCACATGCAATTGTAATAATAGCAGCGAATGTCCTCTTCAAAAGAAATGCCTATTAAACTGCATAGTTTATAAAGCAGAGGTGGTAACCAACAATTCAGAACCTAAAGAATACATTGGCATGACGGGAAACACCTTTAAGACACGGTTATATAACCACAATAAATCTTTCAATAATGTTATATACAGGAACAATACGGAGCTCTCAAAATACGTGTGGAACTTATAGGAAAAGCAGCAGGACTTCACGATTAATTGGTCTATCCTAAAACGAGCAGCCTCGTATTCCAGCGGTGGAAAGAGATGTAACCTTTGCCTCCAAGAGAAACTTTGCATTCTAAAAGCGGATAAGTCAAACTTGCTAAATAGAAGACGCGAGTTGTTCTCGAAGTGCGGTCACCAAAAACGATTCTTGGCCGAAAAGTTTGAACGTGCGCAAGCTCAATCACGCACGCAAACTCAGTCACGCAAGCAGCACAACGGATATCAACGTCATCAAGCAGGAAAAATTAGTTGAACATACATCGTCGCCTGAAGATCGTGAAAACGTGAAACTCAGAGTTGCGACTTAATTAATTTTAAGTAGAAAAGACAACAATTATATATATATATATATAGAGAGAGACACTCGTATATATACCCCATGAACTTGCTCTCACCAAGGCATGTGGTACAACACGGTGACTCAACGCATCCAGATACGCGCAGAGCGTAATGGTGCCAGAGTGCTCAAACGACCACAGGGGAAGTGAGCTTTGCAGTATCGCTATATATATATATATATATATATATATATATATATATATATATATATATATATATATATATATATATATATATATATATATATATATTCTTATACCATTTCGACAGTAACACGTGTTACTGTCGAAATGGTATAAACAAATTCGGCATGGCTTTGGTGAGTGGCCATGTGGGTGTGCAGGAATGGTTGTGACTGGTTGGGTTCGAATATGCCATCGGGCTGATAGCTCAGTTGGTAGAGCGATGGGCTTGTAACCCAGAGGTCGCCGGTTCGAATCCGACTCAGTCTCAACTTTTCCTGTTCACTAAAAAATACTTACCTACGGTGATTAACATATATAAAAATTATAAATGCCATATCGTGATGATTAACATATATACGGCTGAAGAAGACATGTTACTGTCGAAATGGTATACAAATTCGGCATGGCTTTGTTGAGTGGCCATGTAGGTGTGCAGGAATGGTTGTGACTGGTTGGGTTCCAATATACCATCGGGCTGATAGCTCAGTTGGTAGAGCGATGGGCTTGTCACCCAGAGGTCGCCGGTTCGAATGCGACTCAGTCTCAACTTTTCCTGTTCACTAAAAAATACTTACCTACGGTGATTAACATATATAAAAATTATAAATGCCATATCGTGATGATTAACATATATATATATATATATATATATATATATATATATATATATATATATATATATATATATATATATATATATATATATATATATATATATATATATATATATATTAAGATAAAAATGTTCTAGAGTGTGTATTATATAATTTCCATACCCAGCGCAAGCAGAAAGATAAAGTCTGCCGCGGCTGGGTCTCGAACGCGCGACCTTCGAATTACCGGATCGACGCTCTGCCTACTGAGCTACACGGTCAGACGGATTTAAGACTGGAAATTATGAAATAAATACTGAATGTCATAAACATACTCGTTTATATTAATTCAGCATCGAACAATATTAGTTCTGCAAGTGTTATGTTAGTTGTGTAATCGTACATTCTGTAATATGTTAAGATGTAAATGTTCTAGAGTGTGTATTATATAATTTCCATACCCAGCGCAAGCAGAAAGATGTTGTCTGCCGCGGCTGGGTCTCGAATCCGCGACCTTCGAATTACTAGATTGACGCTCTGTCTATTGAGCTACACGGTCAGACGGATTTAAGACTGGAAATTATGAAAATTAATATATATATATATATATATATATTAAGGTGAAAATGTTCTCGAGTGTGTATTAAATAATTTCCATTTCCATAAACAATTTATAACGAAGTCAATGGCCTAATGTCCTTTATACAACCCTATTAATTATATACAACAATTAATCAAAACTCTCTATGGTCGATAATACATGCTTCGGATGAGATGAAAGAAGTGTTTAAAGATAAAAAGCCTTTGATTTCGTTTAGAAGACCTCGAAATTTAGCGGATAATTTAGTAAGATCTAAAATAAAAAGAGACGCTGATACAGGTAAAGCTAAGGATATGAGGAAGTGTGGGAAATCTAGATGCCAGATATGTTGTTATGTAGAAGAAACGGAAATATTTGAATATGGGAATAATAAGTATTGGATAAATTATTCCTTTGATTGTAATTCGGAGGGTGTAATTTATGTATTAATATGTATCAGTTGTTCTAATCATCTTGCCATACATTGTACATTACAGTTAGAGAAACCACCATTAGAACAAGCTGAAATTTATTATCGAAAATTAAACAATGTAAACATGGATAGTTTCAATGAAGATCTAAAAGTACTAGACAACTACATGCTCCACAAAAACGACGAATTATAGCTCTTCGTCCTTTATCACCATGGTACAATGAGGAGATTGGTCAAGAAAAAAGAAATTGCAGGAAACTGGAGCGCCGCTGGCGCACATCTGGACTATGTATTGACAGACAGTTATATGTCAAACAATGTGAGACAGTGAATGCCATGATAAAGAATGCTAAGACAACATACTACTCATCGGTCATTTCCAGTAATGGACATAATCAGAAAGTGTTATTTAATATGGTTGATAAATTACTCCATCGAAAGCCAGAAAAGCGCTATCCAACTGCGTCATTAACGACTGAACTCGTGAAAAAATTTGCAGATTTCTTCAGTAATAAAATTGCTATTATATGGAAAGGACTAGCCATTGATTCTTCCCACTGTAATCAAATTGTAAAAAAGTTGTACAATTTGTTATGTGAAACGATTTTCCATTGATTCTTCCCACTGTAATCAGCACTGTAATCACTGTATTTGCAAGAACTGTTTTTTACATTTGAGAAAAATAGCAAGAATAAAGGAGTACTTATCAACGTCAGATATCCAAACTTTAGTTCATGCCTTTATAACATCGAAACTGGATAATTGTAATTCTTTATTATGCGGATGGCCTAAATTTTTTATTGATCAGTTATAGAATGATTGTGCAAAACTGTGCTGCTCGACTGGTGACAGGAAGCAAAAAATACGATCATATTACTCCATTAATGAAACTATTACATTGGCTCCCATCAGTCAACGCATCATCTATAAAATTGTTCTTATTACGTATAAATCTCTGAATGACTCAGCTCCACATTACGTTAATAATGTGCTAAAACTTTACACACCATCAGCAAATTTACGCTCCTCATCCAAAGGATTGCTTACCATACCCTCAGTAAAACTAGTAAACTATGGTGAACGATCGTTCTCATATACTGCACCGAAACTGTGGAACGAACTGCCAGAGTATATTAGAAAGAGTGAGACCTTGCCTATTTTTAAAACCAGATTAAAGAGACATCTTTTTAAACAGTATTATGACTAAGTTATTATTTTAACAAGATTATTAGCAATTTTATAGTATTCTATACAATTATTGTTTTAATATTATCAACATACATAACACAAAGTAATTTTATATTCTTAACGAGAAGAGCATATAATTAATGTTTTAGTAATTTTATAGTATAGTAATTTTAGTAGTCAATGCATGTACTATGTTCTAACACTTAGTATATTTTTTTAACACTTAATGTTAAGCACTATTGAGCTATGGGAAATGGCCCTATATAAATGAATTATAGTAATAATATATATAATATATATAATATATATTATATATATATATATATATATATATATATATATATATATATATATATATATATATATATATATATATATATATTTTATATATATATATATATATATATATATATATATACTGAAAACTATTTTCAAAAAAATAGTCGATGAGTTGACGTAAGGTAGAAGAGCGCTCATACCATAATAAGTAGAGCGGAATTAATTCAGTCAAGGTTTGAATGTATGCGTCGCTACTCTGAGTTTCACGCTTTACGC